ACCTCCGGGTCTCAGATGTCCGAAGATAACAACTCTCAGAGAAAGCGATCAAATCGAGGTGATGCACTGAGGTGAATCTCATCTAGCTTGCTTCTACAGCCACGCAAAATGGGCGTAAATCACGAGTAGCCCATCTGTTGAAATTAGTCATGGAATGATAAAGACCGGTTTCCAGTGAGTTTGTGAACCGCACGAAAAAATCCACAATAAGAAGGTCGCTTTATCCATTCACCCAACGCGTACGTAGTTCCTTGACAGTTTGCTTTATTTTACTTCCGATTGACGCGGTCAGAGAAAGGTTTCAGATTGAAATGGGACGAACTTGGCCTAGGTTTCGGCCTTGACTTATTCACTGTCTTCGAAGCTTGCATATTAGTGCTCACCGCAGTAAACGACAGCTGACTGAGTTGTGCTCCAGCTCGATACGGATCCACAGGACTTTCTTCTCTGACCACTGCACCGTGCATTGATAAGCAGTGAGCATTAAGAAAAAGCAGCAAAAGGTCTACTTTAAATACCACAGCAGTTGCTGAGCCAGCCTCAGAAGCGGAAGAAAAAAGAGATGACGGGAGGTCTTGCTCAGTTTAGGTCTGGGCGCCACGGCAGTATCCCAGCCCACATACAACCATGACATTTTCTTCAAATATAAACTTCATTCTGCATCGGCCGTCACGCAGATTATCAAGGGTCGCCTTATCTGCTGCATACAGCAGGGCGGATAAGCGAAAACATGCTGCTGCTGGCGCCACCTTACTTTTCCACCTGCTTCTCTTACTCCCATCTGGACCGCAATTACTAAGCTTCCTTCTATAATTCCCAACTTAATTGACAGCGACCGAAGTGCCACTGGAGTCGAACCAACTGAAGCCACCATCCCATAACACCCATCGGATGCCTATCGGCAGCAGCCCTTTATAAGGCCACGCTGTCCCGTCTCCCGGGCGGCGTTTAAAGTTAGCACTCTAAGGCAAATAGGCCAACAGGCTGCACTCGCACGCACCCTGGACGCACTGGATATTAATGTGTGTTGTGCATCCGAAACTAGGAGCAACAACCCTAATTGGGGCTGTTTAATTAACTGCGCCCGGTTTGACCTCTCGTTACTGGTTGCACACATCCGGAGACGCCGATGCGGCACTCACCGGTCAAGCTGGTGTAGGTATCATTCTCAGCTCCAAGGCTGAGTCATCGTTGGTTGATTGGATTCCGGTGAACAGCCGTTTATGTGCAGCCCGCCTGACGACATCAGCTAAGGTGAATTCGCGAAGTAAAACAAAACGCTGTTTGTTTGTGATTTCTGCTTATGCTCCCACCGACTGCAGTTCTAATGCTGTCAAAGAGACATTCTAGCACGAACTGAACGCGCTACTACACAGTGCTACTAGTTCAGGTATTATAGTACTTGCAGGGGATAGGAACGCACAGGTAGGGCGTCTGAGCTCTTCAGAAGCTCAGCTGGGTGGTAAGTATGGAGTTCACTTTGAACGGACTGACAACGGCGAGCGTCTGTTGCAACTGTGTGCGGAGCACTAGTTGTTTCTTTGTAGCACTGCTTTTAGACACAGTGGGCGCCGAAGTGCCACTTGGCGTCCACCTGTAGCTGGCCAGTGATGGACCCAAATTGACCACATAGACATAAGTTACAGGTGGCGCGGTTCCATTCTGGATTGCCGCTCGTACTGGAATACCTGCGTCGAATCTGATCATGCCTTGATACGCTGTCGTTTCTCCATGAACTTACCTGAAGGCACACCAAGTGTCGCCACTGTTTGGCAACAGAGAAATTGTCTCAGCCCTTGGTCAGGCAAGCCTATCAAGACGCATTACCTATCGAACTTTTGCTATCTTGTCTTAATGACACTGAGCTTCAATGGCACTATCAAACATCACCGCTCCAGTCGCTGGATATATGAGAGGTCAGTGAACCTGCTGGAATCTAGAAGACACCTCCCGGCTGGCTGTGAGCACAATGTGACCGGACGGGATATTAGGCGCCAAGTAAAGCAAACTCTACGTGCTGACATGAAAGCCTGGTGGACTAGTCGAGCTCCAGAAATGAAGGAGACAGGAGCAGTAGGTAATTACCGCAAGCTGTCCCAGCTGATCCGCACCACTGGTCCCAGAAAACTAGTAGTCAGTGAAACAATCAGAGACAGTGCGGGTGCACTGATACACAATAAGGAGCGCCGTATGGCTCGTTGGGCGGAACACTTGCAAGACCAGTTCAATTGGCTCCATGCTCCCGGACCTCTTGCTACTCAGGTGATGCAGGACGAGCCATGGACGGTTAGTTCAGAGCCTCCGTCGGAGGCCGAGGTCCGAAACGCGGTCACAGCCCACAATCGTTTTCGTGCCGCTGGCCCGGATTCCCTACCACCTGCACCATTTAAGAATGGAGGAGTGATCCAATGCAAAGTACGGACCTCCCTATTCGAAGGTATCTGGAAGGAAGAGTGTCCCGGCTAATTGGAGCGAATCGATTATAAGGGCAATATACAAGAACAGTAGTCGCACAGACTGTATTGACCACAGGGGTATTGGCCTGCCGACAGTTGTGCCAAAATTAATGGCCTCGATTCTCGTTCGCCGCCTCAATGTGGAACGGAAATCTCGGATTAGGGAAGAGTAGGCAGATTTTCGCCCACGGCCTGGCTGTATACACCATATATTCACACTGTGGCAGGTTCTAGAGGAGCGCCACGCATACCGCAGACCGATAATAGCTGTGTTCCTCGATTTCAAAAGTGCATTCGATTCGATCGATAGATGCATTCTGTTCGAAATACTTGCGCGGAAAGGTGTACCCACGAAATATGTGAACATCCTACGTGCTCTATACTCGAACAATACAGGCCGCGTCAGGGTCTTCGGTGACCTGCCGGATAGCTTTCCAACCACTAATGACGTTCGTCAATGCTGTCCGATTTCCCCGTTTTTGTTCAATTTCGTCGTGGACGCTATCATGCAGTGTTCCGTTGCGGATTCTCACGATGTAAGCGTTGAGGTCCTACCTGGTGGAAGGTCAGTTGATTTTGATTATGCAAACGATATCGCCTTGCTTTGCGACGATGTTGCTGCGACACAATCAACCCTGAATAGTCTGTCTAGGGTGGTCGCATTATTTGGTATGCGGTTCACACCTATAAAATGCAAAGTATTGCTGCAGGGCCACCAGCCGCTTTATGACCCCCTTGATCCTTGCCAACGAGGAACTCGAGGTGGTTGATCAATTCTCTTATCTTGGCAGCTGCATCTGCAACGACGGACGCATAGAAACTGACGTCAGCTCACACATTGCAAAAGCCGGAACTGTCTTCTTGAACCTACGCTATCTTTGGAGACAGAAGGGTGTTTCCCTCTGCCTGAAAGGCTGTGATTACAAGGCCACAATGAGGGCGGTCCTGCTCTATGGTAGTAAGACTTGGTCCCTTCGGTCTGAAAATCTGCAGCGCCTTCAAGGTTTTGATCATCGTTTTCTGCGAAGCATCGCTGGTGTCGGATGGCACGAGCGTGTCCGCTATGATGATGTGCGTAGGCGAGTACTAGGTAGTGATAATCATGCTACCTCCCTAGAACAGAAAGCACTGAATAAGTTGCCTCGGCTTGGGCACATGCTATGTTTGTCTGATCACCGTATATCTAAGTCATGTTTAGTCTGCCAGATATAGGGTGGCGCAAGGCTCGAGGTGGACTGAAGTTGACATGGCAGCGGGAAATGAAGTCACTGACGACCAAACTGGGTGCCGTAGATCCGTTTCGCCTTCCAGACTGGAGTCCAAGTGACTCGCCTTGTGCCTGGATCGAGAGTTTATAGGATTTGGCTCGCAACCGACACCAATGGCGCGACTGCTGCCGTCCCTTAGTCGGATTGCCTGTTTAAAGTGTGTTTGGTGCGGTTATCTGCTGGGTATTGGCTGATTGTGACGCGGGGCAGTGGAAGCCGCAAAAAAGCTGTCACGCCGATGTCGCTTTACCTTTGTACGACAGCCAGTTATTTGTGACGTTATGTTGCTAACACAAAGTGTAGGCGCCTTGACCCCGAATATTTGCTTAGGGTATCAAGGTTTTCAGATAAGTCCCGCTTCTCTCTTGCTTATTATTCTTTATTCCTTAGGTTATTATGGTTGTATGGCAGCGAAGCAACAATGGCTGAGGTATTGCTGCTACTGCTGTTGCTGTTGTTTCCTTAGTCAGGGCTCTTTACCTGACCAGTGCAGCGGGTGGAGCACTTGAGGGGTGCACATTCAAGAGATATCTGCAGCTCGATACGGTTTAGCATAGGCTAAGGGCAAAGATAATTGCCAGAGGTAGTACACTTAAGGCACCAATAAAGCTCTGAGTCGAGAGTAGCACAAGCAATGTGCAACCAAACATTACAGTGAAGGTGCAGATTTGGAGATACTCCCATGTGACTGCGTAAATTCCAACACTAGTTTTCATATGTATTATGGAATTAGACGGTTTGGTTGTTGGAATGTTGCTTACGTTTGTTTGAGTCACACATGTGTAACCGCCGTTCTTCAAAATAGAGGCGAACTGCGACTGGCGCCCATCTTCGTACTCAGCTCACATCCACATCTCCCCAAACCAATGCTGTCCTTGTGCCTTATGTTTAGCCTCAACGAGTTAATCGCCTATCAATAAACCTAGCTTTTTTCGTGTGTTTTTCTGCTCACACTTAGTTGGCCGTTTATCTTATATACGGCGCACGACTGACGAGCTATAATTAAACTGAACTTCGAACGAGAGGTGACTCCTTTACCACAGCACTAACGCCATCAGAGAAGATAACCTCAAACAAGAAAATGCGGTATTGTATCTATGAAAGAAGTCAATTATATTAGTGGAACCTCAAAGAAAACCTGAACATGTGAACAATAGCGGACCGAAAACGGAAAGTAAATACATGTAAAGAGATCCGTATGAGGCACAAGAATAAATGTAACAAATCAAGAAGCATTGGAGTAATGTAGGCTGACAACACCCTAGGATAAACGTACGTTAATCTCTTGATCCGATATAGGGTATACGCCATTTGGTGTACATTTTATTTGTTCGGTTACAGTGGCTGAAACTATATGACAGGGAAAGCAAGGTTACCTGAAGGGATTTCAATATGTTCTGCGGTTTTCAAATCTTGCTCCAGCTTGTAATCACTCATTGCTGTCCCAAAAATGATCGACAAAAGACAAGACCGCCGATCGCAACACGAGACGGAGCTCGTGTAACGTGCAATCCTCTTAGTAGGACGGGATCGGACTCAGTGGGAACGATAAAGGTGCAGGTTAAGCTCGTGTATCAAATTGGGATGCAGAACTCCTCGGCGTCGGTCATGAGAAATCAACTGGGCCGAAAAGCAAAGCAAAGCTGGATGACAATATGACAACCGCCTAGTAAGAGATCGAACTGGATACAAGTGTTGACTAAACACTGTCGTAATTATCATCATCATCATCATCATACACGTTATATAGAGGTGGGAAACACCTCGGCTACTGTGCCGCCATAAACAGAAAAAAGGAGAAAAAACACAACTGGTGCAAGCCGGCTGAGCTACCAGTAACGGATGGGCATCGTTCCGGTAAGCTACCAGCCGGCTGCTGTGCACCAAAAAAATTACTATGCAAAATTATATAAGGCTAAATAATGAGATCGTGGTTGGAGGGGGAGGCTAAGAGGGATGGGGTGGGACAAAGAAACTCACAGCACGAACGCCACTGAGGTCGACTCCTAACCATATCAGCAAGTGTGTCCAACCAAACGTGTTCATCGTCTTTCGGACCCCAACCAGGGAGCCGAGACGCTCCGACCGAAGCCAGCTCAGAAGTGAGGCCCTTCATTCCTCTGGACCAAGTCATCGCTTGGCCACCCCTCCTCTTCTTCCATCCACACCTCCGGCGCGCAAACAACACACGTGGCGGAAGTCGGTGGGCTGGCATGCGTAATACGTGGCCGAGTCATCGGAGCCTGATGCTTGAAATAACGGTGCTGAGCGGTTCATTTCCTTTTCCTGTGCCATAAACAAGACGTCGAACACGCTCGTTGCTCACGCGGTATTCCCACCAGATGTGAGCTATATTGCGAAGGCACCGGTGGTCAAACGTAACTAGCCTATTCAGATCCGCTGCTATAAGCGGCCAGGTTTCACAACCGTACAGTAGGGTCGAACGTACTGCTGCATTGTACACTCTACCCTTCAAGGCAGGAGTGATGTCGCGCCGGCGCCACAAGTGGCGAAGGTTAGCAAAAGCGCCCCGAGCTTTTGCTATACGATTCGTGATTTCATCTTCAATCCCACCGGCGCTGATACAACTTCCCAGGTAGTTGAATATTTGAATGACTTCTAGCTGATCCCCACCAAGGGTCAGCGTAGGAGGCGGTCCAGACCAATCTTGGAGAAACGCTTTGCAGTTCGAGGGTGCGAAGCAAAGCCCGAAGTGACGGACAGCTAGAGCTAATCTGTCCAGTGCCGCTTGACAAGTTTGTGAGCTGTCACAGATCAGGGAAATATCATCAGCATACTCTAAGTCAAGAAGTCGCTCTCCTGGGAGCAACTCCACACCTAAGTCGTATCCTGTGAACGCGATTTCCATGACTTCGTCAACAGCGAAGTTGAAGAGGAAAAGTGACAGCGGGCATCCTTGTCTCACGCCGCTGGAGATAGTAAAGGGCGACGACAACTTGTCGTGATCCCTCACTCTGCCCGAGCTACGCGCATATAATGCTCGGATAATATTTACATATTTCTCAGGTACACCTTTCCTGAGTAGACAGTCCCAAAGTGCATATCTATCCACCGAATCGAATGCACCTTTTATATCGAGGAACACAACGGTGGGCCGCCAATATGTCGTAAACTACAAAAGGAGCAAAGAGAAAGGAAAAAACTGCTTTCTAAACAGAAAGTAGTGATCTCACCGTTTAGTTTGAGACAAGGATGCGTTTAAACTCGTTACATTATCCCCTATGTCGGAAGGAGCTCATGGCAGCATGAATCGATCTCAACTTCATGATGTGCGGAAATGAGTGTAGATGACGCAAAAAGTAGTTTCGTCGCAGGAAAGCTAATGATCGTCGAAATGGCCACAATTTAGCCCAGAAAACTGTTGTCGAGAAAAGGAAGGGGAATCGAATGTGTTATGCGTTCGTCGATCGTATTTAAACGGACACAACCCATCACCGTCGCCACTGATCTAACGTACGACGCTCCTAGTATGAGCAAGTAAGGCCCAGCGGGTCATAACTGAAGTCAGTGAAAGCGAGAGGTGCACGTCCGTCACAAAAAACTGATAGAGCTAAGGTAAGCAGTTTGGATGATATTATGACAACCAACTAGTAAGAGACCGGACTGGATGAAGAGTTGCCCAACAGTGTTGCAAAGGTGGAAACGACAATAGCTATACAAACAGAAAACAACGACCTAGTTTACAGAGTGCGACAAGAATACCGTAAAGCCTGCTACACTCCTTTACGGCTAGTTATAATCAGCGAATCATTGTATCATTGTATGATAGAGAGCAGAAGGAGAGTTCTTTATCAGCTCAGCCGCTTCCCAGTCATTGCGGACATTGCTGGGTCATAGTGAAAATGGGGTTCCACAATGAACCTTAAAGCTATGTCGTGAACCAATATTCGAGCACAGTTATCAAGCGAGAATCCAATATTTTCGTGAAACTTTCCTCGGACTGCGCATCAACGACGAGCTCCGGAAGGTGATTCCAGTCATTAGGCACGCGCGTGGATAGAGCTAGATCTGACCGCACATGGAGTCTCGATTTGAACAATTCCCATCCGTGACCACGTGGTGAATTTTCAATGTTCGGATGAAAGAACTGTTGTAACTCGCTTCCTAGCTCTCCTCTTAGGATACGTCGAGTGTGGATCAAATCTCCGCGACGACGACAGTAATACAGAGAGAAAACGTTTAATCGCTGGAGATAAGATAGGCACTGCAGCTCTGGCACACATTTAGATCAATGGCGCTGGACCTTCTCAATCATATCGCATTCGGTCTTCGTGAGACGCTGGGTAGCTGGCAAGACGTACTCGAGAATCGGGCGCACATGTGAGGCAAACAGGAGTCTGAAGACTTCTGGAGTAATATGGGAGAATGCTCTTACTAATGCATGAATCATTCTGTCATCATCATCATACACGTTAGCTAGAGGTGTGCATCAAAAAATACTATGCGAAATTATATAAAGCTAAATAATGAGATCGTGGTTGGAGGGGGAGGCTAAGAGGGATGGGGTAGGACAAAGAAACTCACAGCACGAACGCCACTGAGGTCGACTCCTAACCATATCAGCAAGTGTGTCCAACCAAACGTGTTCATCGTCTTTCGGACCCCAACCAGGGAGCCGAGACGCTCCAACCGAGGCCAGCTCAGAAGTGAGGGCCTTCATTCCTCTGGACCAAGTCAGCGCTTGGCCACCCTCTTCTTCTTCCATCCACAGTCTAACGATTCACCGTTCTCTTGCCTGGCAGTGGCTAGGATGTGACGTGCAAAAATTTCGTTTTTGGGTTTTATGAAGATATCTTTGTAGCGTTTTGACGGCATCCTCATAAGAAGAGCACTGAAAAACCACCTCGAACAGGGCAGATGAGATATAATTCATTAACGTTTTGAGCTTGTCCGGCTTCATGGACTCGATCGATTCTAAAAAATTGTTGAAAGTGTAGATCCAATGGGCCCAGCGTTTGCCGGCGTCAGAAGATTGAGGATCCACATCAAAGCGATCTGGGCGTAAGATTCGATCCATGAGATTGCTGTATTAATCGAGTAAATTGTAATGAACACGGATTATTCCAGGAATGAAGGAAGAAGACAAAGCCGATAAGGATGCTTTTACTCGATTAATAATTCCGACGTATGAGCTATAAAAACAGAAACATGTATTAGAACGGTAAATATGCCAAAGCATGGAATACGGCAAAATCAAAAACACATGACAGTAACAAAGGAATGTTTCAAATGACTGTTGGATTCCCACTCTCTGAGTTCGCAGGGGTTTTGCTGCCCCCCATACGACCACTGCGGTCTTCTGCGGAACCCTGTTCCGCAATGATCCCAGCAACCTTCGCAACGATCGGGAAGTGACGGAGCTGACAAAGGAACTTTCTTCTGCTCTCTACCAACCATTGAACCAATAAAAGTAAAGTACCAACGGCAGCGATGTTTGAGCATGGACTTGATGTACTTGGTTTGCAGCCGTACACCTCTGTTCATGTCTTATTCTTTGTTATAAATCACTGACGTTATCACTCACCTTTCAATTCTTAGAGCATGCTGTTATTGTACTGCAGTTTCGTTCCCTTTCACAGCGTTTTCTTTCCACTTCATGTGACCGTAAACGTAGCCCACTAGTACAAGACACCTTGACAGTGATCGGTTGACCGTGGTGTGATAAGCGCGTGCCGGTTTGACATTCTCGGACAAATGGAATCTCTGTTCTGTATTCTAGATCAACGATGCTGCCGGACTGTATGGTTCACTGGATTTTTCTATTGTTCTTGAACTTACTCTCGCCATCTATTCAGCTCTGCCTTCATCTCATCTGTGACAGCGGAATCTACCTTTCTATGAAATTTTAACCATGCCCATCTTAAGCCCAATGTGGTTTCTTTCTAACATGTGATAATTTCATCCATTAGCCTACGAGATACTTGTTTTACATTTCAGCTCCTCAGATCTGCTGCGTCCTACGTGCTAATTGGACACGGAGGTCCTCGGGATCCTCGATCGAACGCATATTGGACCATTACTGACTCAATCTTTTGCGATCATTATTTGTTGTTTGATGATGGAAAACTTCAAGCAAGAACAATATTCCGTAGCTTTGGATCAGTGTGGAACTCTTACAAGTACCTTTGTTTTACATCATCCTGTATACTTCTAGCCACTGTACCTGAAGAGGAGAAATCCATACCATTGGACCAACAAATTAGCGTGCGTTTACTTTGAGTTTCGACATCACATTTCTCAAGTTTACCGTTGTATATTATCCGGTTTCCTTCCGTTTAATTAGTACTTTTGGACTTGAATTTAAATGCTTACTAACTGTTTGTTGGAAGGTGCTAGAATCGCGTTGTGAACCTTTCCGATTGATTTTGATTTATTCTCCTTTTTTGCTTGAATATCGCCTAGTCAAAAGGAGCCAACTTCCTCCTGTACAGCATCGCTCACGCTGCCTCTTGATTGACACTATTGTCTTTCTTCGTCGCTGGTATAGCTCTTTGAGGATTACACAGACAGGTATCAATTTGAACAAGGAAATATTGGCAGAATATTGGAATATTGGCAGATGCTAGCATTTCGTATTATCTCATCAGTACCAATACAATAACAGGGAAATCCTTTTATAGGTCTTACAGGGCACAGTCAAGCCAAT